GCAGACTAAGATGCCACAAGGGTAGGACAAACAACCCATTTCCACAGACTCCTTGTTTCAGTTTTAAAAATCTTTCTCTTTCACAAGCTGTTTCCCTTTTAGAATGTGAACTACAAATTTCTACCACACGCTAACTTGTGTTTAGCCACGTATCGATGTGCTGGTCACAGTCTCACTTTCTCTAGCAGCATTCACTCACACTCTTGCCATTGCAGCGCCCTTATCCTCATGGTCAACTCGGTTTACAACAATGATCTCTTGATTTTCATCTCCATAATATTCTGTCCACTGAACTTTTGGCTGGATCATGAATTTGTGCATTTTCCAGAACTTTCACACCTTGGAAATTTTAAATACTAATTTTTCTCTTAGCCCTTCAGGAGCAATTCACTTCTCAAGGAATCACTGATGTCTGGGAACTTTGATCATATTTCCTTCGTTCACCACCTTCAACCTCATGATTGATTGGAACTGTGCACCCCTCTCTTACTAAATTAATAGTCCTGGAATTTGGCCTAAACTATGTGTCTTGTGTCCTGAAAGCTCATTTCTCTAGTTCCATTTGGAACACTGCTATATGTTAGATACACTCCTGTGAGTAGTTGTTGGCTGACCATCAAAACAAACAGGCAAAGAGCATCATCCAGCGGTCTCTTCAGTTCTTTCACTTTTGCTCTCTCATAACTCATGACGTGAACTATTGCAAACAGATCATTTTAATCATACATTATATCGATTATATATGCTTATTTTCATATGTCCATACCAGGCAGAGAGCAATATAACACAATTTGTACCATGTGAATTCATTTTGGAGCAGTTCATGGGTCATACATGTTTAGCAGATTATCTTAAAAACACTGTTGGGACCAGGGATTTAGCTCAGTGGTTCCACCACTGGCCTCGCAAGCACAAGGACCCAAGTTTGATCCCTGGTACAAAACAAAAAAAAAAAAAAACAAAACAAAAAAGAAAAGAAAAGAAACACTTAAAAATAATTTTGAAGGACCTTAGAGATATTTTAATCCAACACTCTCAGCATATGTACATACCAATAAATTATCTTGTGTAAAAACATACAGCTTTATACAATCAGAGCTAGTATTACTACTCAGTTATCATGTCTTTGGGCCAATAATTATACCTATCGTGTAGTGAGCCATAGTCTATGTTCTACACCATAATTTTGTCTTTATCAATCACTGAAGAATATGATCCTCCAATCCAAAGACTTTATATGATCGGGGGCATTTGTCCTTCAGACAACTTCCCATGAAGATGTCCTTTTCTGTGATCACTGGGCTTGTCGATGAGATATAGGGTAAACAGAATCACAAGTGTGACTTTCACTTCTGCTGTTTGCTATGTCCACCTGCACTATATCAGTAAGCATTTGTCCCATAATCTCGCCTCAATGTTTAAGGCTGGCATCTAACTGTCCCTCATTGACAGCTGCTTACCAGAAACAAGTTCACATTGGTTGGGAAATCAAGTCTGTCCTATCTTGTCGGTAGTCTCCCTTTACTTCCCTCTCATCTTACACTCATCACAAACCCATGTGGTGATGCTGTTCTTATTTTCTTTTTAAACAAGAGGAACTTCGGGAAGTCAAGTCATTTGAGAAAGACCAGTTTGTACGGAGTGGTGAAGGGAAATAATCAAACCTGGGGCTCCACCAGTTCAAACCACAAAGCATTTCCTGCTGGCCTTCTGCATTCCCTAGGAAGTGTGCTTCTGGGGGGCCCAGCAGATCGTCGCAGGACTTTCTCCATGTAAGCTTGTGTTTGTTTGCAGTAACACAGATTTAAATGATCCATTGCAGCTTAGAGTGTCTCCCATGTCTTCAGAGATGGTTTCCCTGAAAACCTACTCCCTTCAACTTGTGAATCTAATGCATTTTATTTACACTTCTTAATTATTTCCACTAACTGGCAAGTCAGAAAGATAGCACATAATTAAACAGAATATTCTTTAGGTTTAGAATACACATAGCGATTTAATTTGTAAATGTATTCTGTAGGTCATTCGTAACGACCCTGAAGGTCGTGAGTAAGACAGGCTTTTGCTTTGAGAAGGTCTCAAGCAGTCAGTTCAGTGCTATACACACAGACTTCACCTGCCATGTAACAGACATTGTGCTTTATTCCAAGTACAGAGAGATAAAATACCAAAAAAAATATGTAACCCATACCCTAAATTAAGTTACGCATTAAAGGTAAAGACAGCTATGATAACAAAAATGCTATAGCACTTTTCAGAGTGCTTCATGAGCAGGGAGTCTCTTTTAACATGGCCAGGGGCAATGCCATCTGAGTTGAATCTGAAGAGTAAGGGTGTTCAGGAAGAGAATGGTTGTGCTGCAGCATTGTTACAGGAGCAGATATCACAGTCACCAGTCCGTCAAATCCACTTTAATAATCTTCCTAGGAAGAAAGTACAGAATTTGGCAGTCCATGGTACTAATTTTTAAGTCCTTGCTGTCTCACATTTAAGATTTCTGACTGTGAAGACACAAACCTTGGCCTCTCTGCTTTTTAGATTTTGTCACATGTATGACAGAACTGATAGTATCGCTGCATGGGAGCTTTTTGATTTCTGAACATGTAGAACAAAAGCTGTCTCTTCTGGTCAAGAGAGTGTAACACAGACTGGAATTTACTGTCTCACCTGAAACACACAAAAAATTGGTAGGTATAAGAGAGATTGAGTTAGAATGTAAAGACAGTGTCCTGAAGCAAAATGAAAAATGGTATTGGAGAAATGGAAATAGAGACTAAGCTCTCTATGGTCAGCCCAAATTACAGCTGTCTGAAGAGTTTATGGGCTATTACAAAAGTCAAACTCTGAGAAAAATAATGGATTGCCAGTTTGGATAGATGAAGGCAGAAAGTGTTTCCAAGACAGAGAACTGCAGAAGAGGCCTTTGCCCATTGATAAATGCACAGAGATCTGCAGAATCTTTCTTGAAATTAATTAATTCCCACAAGAGTCACTTAGTGCATGCCTCTGTGAGTGTGTCTATGTGTGCATTATCTGAATCCAAAAGATTTGAAATGCCCATTGCTTACAATGATGCAAGAATAATTCAATAATCCTTGTTCCCACCAAGAACCCCCATGACTCACGGGACAGTAATAGAATAAAGAGATAGATGTTGTCTCAAGGGTAGGGAATAACTTGGCCTATACTGAATGCTTCTAGGATACTAACATCCTAAAAGCCTCTATAACATCTAAATCTTAGAGATGAAATAATAAAATTGCTTTCTAGTAACGGAAGTACATAATATTTACAGGAACACAAGAATATCTAGCAGCCAACAAGGTAATAGTCAAAATAACTCCTATCTAGCCTAAAGTTTCCAGATATAAAAAAGGAAGGGAGATATATCACATAATAAAGAAAAAATAATTCAATATAAAGTGTAACTCAAAACTGACATAAATGTTAGTGTTATCAGAAAAGCACTGAAAAGTTTATTAAAACTGCTTTCTAGATTTTCAAATGTTTAAGTGGAGCCCAAATCATTTATAAACACATTAAATTCATAAAGTAAATTCTATAAGGCCTGAGATGAAGCCAAAAATTCATGATCTGGATGATTGATTACCCACTGAAACAGAAAATTTAGTGAAGTAGATGTACCGATAGAATCTGTTCGACACAAAACAAAAAGAAACAAATGTTCACAGAAATGAGCAGAGCATCAGTGATCACCGAGACTAACCAAAATGCCACTGCAATACCTAAAGGAATCAAGGAGAAAGAAAGGCAAATACAAAAAGTAAAACTGAAAAAAAGGCTCACAAATTTGATAAAAAGAATAAAACCACATAGTTGAGAAATCCATTAAAATTAGTACAAGATAAAAATAAAAACCAAAACTAAAAACTCAACCTAGGTACAAAGCTTGTTCAAATGCAGTTATAAAAAGACTTCTCAAAGCAATCAAAGAGAAAGGTGTTCTCTGGATAGAATAATAACGATACAAATTACAGCAAAATTCTCACTAGAAGTTTTATGAACAAGAAGATAGTTGTGGCAGTACTTTACTGAAAGATAATTTCAAATGAAAAGAGAAAGAAGGAAAATTCTGCTCAGTTATCATTCTACACCCAGAAAACATACTTATCAAAAGAAAGTTGAAACGAGGAAAATGTACAAAGCTAAAGTAATTCTTCTTTCCCACTAATGCTGGTATTGCATAAAGAAAGACACTATAACAGGCAGAGCTTAAGGAATTGTTTTGAGATCTCATAGCAGGCAAAATCTTCAGTTTTCTGCTCCTTTACAGAAGAATAAAGTTTGTATGCGAGTATTGAGAGTAGTTATCCTTTAAAAAAAATGGGATCAAAGCAGTTATGTAGGAAAAGAGATATTATCAGACGCTAGCTGCTTCAAGGTTTGCAGAGGACAAGCTGCTTGGACTTTGAGACTCAGAGCACTAACAGAATCCACAAATAGGAACCTGGGTGCATGGGATGGTGGAGCTCTGTGGCTTCTTCTCTCCTATACAAAAACTCAAAGCTAAATAATACCCTCCTGAAAAAACAATGGGTCACATGTGAAATTAAAGAAGAAATTAGTTTGTACAATTAAATTATAATATTATACAACATCATGGAACTTATGGGACACAAAGAAAGCAGTCCTAAGAGGGAAATTTATAGCAGTGAACGCTCTTATCAGGAAAACAGTTTAAATAAGCTAAGGTTGCACCTCTAGCTTCTAGAAATAGAAGAAGTCAAGCTCAAGCTCATACAAATGAAAAAACTGTAAAGATCAGAGGAAAAATTAATGTAATTGAGCCTAATAAAATAATAAAAAATCAATGAATCAAAGAGTTAATTCTCCAAAAGTTTAAATAAAATTGATCAGTCAGCCAACATTATCAAAAAAAAAAAGGAAGGAGAGACTCAAATCCTTGCAATTAGAAATAAAAAGGGTAAATTCACAACAGATGCTGCAGAAATCCATATAATCATCAATACCTACTTCAAGTGCTCACTTTGGCAGCACATATGCTAAAATTGGAAAGATACAGAAAAGATTAGCGTGTCCTCTGTGCCAGGATGATATGCACATACCTACTTCAAGAACCTGTTTACAAAGAAGTTGAAAAACAATAGGAAATGTAAAAACTCCTAGATACATATGAATTACCAAAGCTGAATCAAGAAATTATAAAAATAGTAAGTAGCCCAAAATCAGCCAATGAAATTGAAGATACAATGAAAAACTTACCAACAAAAAATGCCAGGGTCCTGATGAATTCATTGCTAAATTATATGAGAAATTTAGAGAATATCTAATGCCACTACTACTCAAAATCTTTAGTCAATTGATAAAGCAAGAGTTTGGAAGTCATTCCTGGCACAAATATTACCATTATACTGACAGAGAAGTATCCAAACTGAAAAAAGGACTATAGGTTATCCTCCCCAATGAACACAAAGATCCCTAGTAGCATACTGGAAAATAGTATGAAGCAGACCATCTAAAATATTAAACACTAGGATTGAGTAGGATCATCCTAAGGATACAGGGATAGTTTCATTTGGAAGTCATTCCTGGCACAAATATTACCATTATACTGACAGAGAAGTATCCAAACTGAAAAAAGGACTATAGGTTATCCTCCCCAATGAACACAAAGATCCCTAGTAGCATACTGGAAAATAGTATGAAGCAGACCATCTAAAATATTAAACACTAGGATTGAGTAGGATCATCCTAAGGATACAGGGATAGTTTCACAAAGGCAAATGTATATATGTGTGTGTGTGTGTGTGTGTGTGTGTGTGTGTGTGTGTGTGTGTGTATAGTATACCATATCAACACAGCCAAAGAGAAAAAATCACATAATCACATCAGTAGATGCAGAAAAAGCATTTGACTGAGACTGATGGAGTACTTACTACTCCATCATAAAGAAGGATAAACTTGAGACATTTGTAGCTACATAGAGCCACTATATATAGCTCATACTCTTAAGTTAAATACAATAGACCTTTGAGTTATGACCAGCTTCACATATGAACAACTTAGCCTATGACCAGAATTTGTTTTAACTTATGATCAAAGTCTTGAGTTACAACCTATATGCCACTTATGCCATTATAAACTAAGGCTCATGATGCCAGAAAAATGTATGTACCCATCTGTAACCCTCAGTCTGAGCCCAAATACGCATGTTTGTAGATGTGTTGGCCTTTTATAACCATTATGATTACTACTATCAAAATGGCTTCAAGAAAGCTAGAAAAGAAGCCAAGGAAGAAAGGAAAGAAATCACCGTAAATAAGAGGGAAATCGTAGAGAAATATGAGAGCGGTGTTCATATGCATATGATCTCAACAGTCTTAGAGAGAAAAGATTTGTATGAGAAAGCTAGTCTTGCTAAAGGTGTTACTTACATTAAAAAGTCATAATCAACAATGTTAGATGAGGTAGAAGGGCTATTATTAGTCCATGAAAAATGTCTACAATTTGTGAAAAAGTAAGGGCTATGAATGCAGATCTCAAAAAGGATAATCCATGAATGAGGGATAATGGTGAAAAGTTTTGTGCTACTAAGGGATCGTTTAACAATTTTAAAGCGAGAAGTGGGGTTCACAGTAGGATTAGGCATGATGAAATAGCCAATGCTGAAAAAGCACTGCTGAAAATTGTGTATAGCACTTCAAAACAATGACACAGAAAAGTAGGTTTTGTACTCATCAAGTTTTCAACTGTGGTGAAACTGGCCTTTTCTAGAAGAAAGTACCCAAGAGAACATACATTACCCAGAAAGAGAAGGAAATTCCATTCCACAAGCCTATGAAGGATAGGTAACCTTATTGATAAGTGCCCATGTGGATGGTGACCTCAAGATAAAGCCTCTCTTGGTTTATCACTGAGACCCCTAGAATGCTCGGACGACCTAAAGTTATGAAGAATGGGCTAAGGGTCATGTGGAGATCAAATGCAAAATCCTGGATAACAAGAGTACTTTTCTTGAGTGGAACAGGGAGGTTTTCTATCCTATTGTTAAGAAATCTCTAGAAGACAAATGTACACCACTGAAGGCTCATCTCATCATGGACAGTGCACCTCCTTACCCACAAGATTTGGGAGACGAATTGGCTGAAGAATTCCCATGGCCTTCAATACGCCTACTCTACTACAGCCTATGGACCAGCAAGTTATAGCTATCTTTAAGAAGCTATACCCAAGGAAATGCTCCTGAAATGCTTTCAGATCATCTCAGAGACAGATTGAACTGTTAAAGAGTTCTGGAAGGAACTTGATGGCATCCTTTCCTGTGTGGGGTTAATTGAGAAATCTTGGGCCAATGTCTCTCTAAGGACACTGAGATCTTCCTGGAAGAAAGTATGGCCTAAAATTATACAGGCAAGAAACTTGGAAGGCTGTGCAGAGGAGCCTGAGCCTTCAACTGACCCTGTGCTTGATGGCATTGTCACCATAGCAGAATCCATAGGTAGACCATGGTGACACTGAGACACTGGTGGAGGAACACTCAGAGGAGCTGTCTACAGAGGAACTCCAGCAACTTCTGGCTGAGCCACAGAGAATGGCAGCTGAGGAGCTTTCTGCCGAGGAGTTCTCCTGAAATAAAGGAAATCCCAAAAAAGTAGAAAGAGCTACAAACCTTTATAGAGAAGACCCACCCAGAGAGAGAAAAGCCCAATCACGGCATTCACTTGCTCATGACAATATCCTGCCATGCTACGCAACAATGTCAGAGAAAAGACAGAAACAGCCTTAGACAAGTATTTAGTTCTGAAAAGGCTGAGACCTTGTGAGCCAGAGGCGTGTTCTAGTGGACTACAGACTCTCTCAAGGAGAGAAAGGACTCCAGGGAGCCAGATTCCTGATGTTCTCATGGAAAAGGACCCACCTGCCAAACCATAACCACCTTCTATTACACTCTCTCTTCCTCCAAGTCAAAAGATGTGAGCTTCAGTGGTGAGTACAGTTTGAAATTATTACTCCTGATAAATAGGTACATTTTATAATGTTTTGGTGAATACATTAGAAAAATTATTGGAATTTCTGGTAAATTATGCACATTGTACAACTTTTTATTTTGAAAATGTTAGTTAAAGTTAGTTGAGCTTTGTGAACTTTGGAATGGATTATGGGTATTCCAGTTATTTCTTATGGGAAAAATAGTCTTGATATAAAACCAAATTTAGTTACAACCAGCCTTTACAAATGAATTGAGTTTGTAAGTCAAGGGACAACTGCAAATCAGACACACATGTTTAAATATCACACTGTTTCTCTCGTGTGAGAAACCTAAAGTAGAAAAGGACCAAAATTGATAAAATATAACATTATGCATATCTAAATTGTGCCAACAAACTTACTTAAAAATATGTTTATATAAAGAAAAGCCATGAGTAAGAAAAGTTACATTAAGTCCACTAAGGTGAATTGCTGTAGTCATGATTAAGTGGGATGTGTATCGTAGGTAGGGAGTGTCTCCTAGTCTTACCAGAGACACCAGGAAGGAAACCACATGACTCCTTCATGGATCATTTGTTGTTTATTTATTCATTCATTAAACAAATACTTATTAAGGGCCCTCTTACTAAATTACCAGGCAAAAATTTAATTCATAAGGATAAATAAATTCCAGACAATATTCTTCTTGATAAAATATGAGTCCAAATGACAAACTCTACTCAGAGATAAAATATTTTTCTTTGGTTCCCTCTAACTTCAGCTTAATTACTTAATTCTCCAGTTAATTACTTTCTATTACCTCCTTCTCTAGAGTAGATATCACAATGAAAAGAAGAATATGTCCCTAATATTTGCCAGATCCTCTATTCAAGTGCATATCTGTATGTATTATTTATATAATTATAAAGTCTCATTTCCATTGTATCACCTTGTTTACCTAAGGTTTCGAACCATTTACACACTTTTCTACAAAAACATGGTGCAACACTGTTCAAAGGAATTTATTTCTTGGGTTCTCACTGTCTTCAGCTGTAAAATGAAGAGTTCAATTTATTGAAAAACTGTTCACTTGAAAAGAATTGCCTGCATAATATTTTAGGATCATTTCTTGGCAAACCTGATTAATCAGTAATTCTAAAAGACATAGTCTTGAATTAAAATATCCCTATGTGATTTCTGATGTTCCCCTAGCTATGTACCAATAAGAATGAAAGATCATTTTGATTCCATAATTCAATGAATGTATGAAACATGTATTTATTTTCTTTCTGGAGGGAAGGGGAGATTAATTCTCAATGCATAAAAATACAATAAAATAAAAGCCAAATTTGAGTGCTACTGTGGCTTGAGGGATAACTGTCACAATAGAGAAACACTCAGCATTAGATTAATTCTGCTCTTTAACTCTGCCAGGCAAGATCAGGTACCAGCACCTCATACCATATCCCACAGCTGTTCCGGTAAACTTGCCTTTCAGCAGCCTTTTTACTTTTGTCCTCTGTCACTCTTGCCAGGATGGAGTAATCCTTTTCTGTTTCGCACATTGGGTACTATTCTTATTCTCTCTTTGATCGTGTAGCTAGAACCCACATAAACTCACTGTGAATTTATAAAAAATGTTCCAGAAATGATCTGAGGCATATCTCAAGAAATATAAATTATACACCAAGTGTGACTACTAATAAGGACATATAAACACATGTAATGGATTTAAAAGTTAAATGGAAATAAAAATTCTGTTGAATGTCTTTCTAACAACTGAGTAGAACACTGTTTCCAAAACAAATTATACAAAATTATATCAACTAAAAATGTTGATAAATTTATTTCCAAAATATAATTTATTATCATCTCATGGTACATCAAGTATCATGACAAGCTGTATTTCTCTAGAAGAAATTCATCATTCAGATAACCAGTAAGTGATTAAATTTAAGAGTATGTAAGAACTTCAAAATTTTTTATGTTAAAACTTGAAAAAAGGGGCTGGAGATTTAGCTCAGCAGTTTGGTGGACTGCCTTGCAAGTGCAAGGACTCAAGTTCAATCCCCGGTACCAAAAAAAAAAAAAAAACCTTGGAAAAAAATTTACAGGGAAAAATATAACAGGTCTAAAATTATAATAGGTTATCAAACCT